AGAACAGAAAGCGTAACTGTTCTTGGAGCCATCTTTTTTGCATATACTGAATCTTTCTGCTGGGCTTCTGGTTGGGAACTTCAGGTAGAAATTACAACCATTATCTATGGTGAATCCTGTGTGACGAGAAGCCAGATTTGTCCCTCAGGGATAGCTATGAAGTAACCAAGCAGACTGTTTAACAAGCACAAAACTTCTTTATCTAGATGTGTCTTGATTCCTCCAAAGCAAATCCTTTGGATAACTACTAAACAAATGATAAGAACTAAACCAATGCTAAGACTGCCCTGCCCTAAATGATTTTGGCACTTGTCTTTGGTGATATCATCAGAGCCATGTTTTAAGATCCTAAGACATCTACCAGAGTTTCAGAGGACTGAGGGTTCTTCCCATGGTAGATTGAAAAGTTGGCCACTGTATTTTATAGCTCCTCCCATCAAAAGATGACATCTATTTTTTTTTCTTTTTTTTTTTTGAGACAGAGTCTGGCTCCATTGCCCAGGCTGGACTGGAGTGGTGCAATTTGGGCCCACTGCAACCTTTGCCTCCTGGTTTCAAGCAATTCTCTTGCCTCAGCCTCCTGAGTAGCTGAGATTACAAGCATGTACCACCACACACAGCTAATTTTTGTACTTTTAGTAAAGATGGGGTTTCACCATGTTGGCCAGGCTGGTCTGAAACTCCTGACCTCAAGTAATCCACATGCTTCGGCCTCCCAAAGTGCTGGGATTACACGCATGAGCCACTGTGCCTGGCCCTATTTCTCCATTTCTTAAAACTGTGCTTGGCCATGGAACTTGTGTTCATCAGTGAGAGATTCGCAACTGCAATGGAAACAGATCTTGAAAAGTGCTTCTGTTTTGGATCTTGACCTCTCTTGCTTTGAGAAAAACTCCTGCCATCATATGGACAAATCTAGGCAGCCTTCTGGAGGACAGCACCACATGGAAAAAGGCCTCAACAGCCCCAGTCATCTCAGCTGGGACCTCAGACATGTGGATGTAGCTATCCTAGACCATCCTGCTCCAGTCAGAAGAACCACCCAGACAACTCACAGAATCATAAGAAATGATACATGTTTGTTGTTTTAAGCTTATAAATTTTCGAGTGGCTGGTTATGTTCTTCAGAGAACAACAATGAACTCCTAGCCAGGCAGTCTAAAAATGTTTCACAGGTACAGGTATTTTTTCTCCTATCCTCACTCTTCTTGGGGGATTTGTATTTGATCAGCATCAAAGATTTGCACTAAAAGATGAAAGCTTAATTGAGGATTGTAGAGCAATGGCCAGTGAGTAGCAGAGGTATTTGGGAGCAGTAGAATCTTCCGAGAGCCCCTGAAACAGTTCCTCAAAGGTGATTCAGGTTTCCCAGTTGAGTGTTCTCATAGCATCCTGTGCCTTCCCGTTAGAGTATTTTGCAGTTACATTTGGGTGATGATTTGACAATGTTTAAACTACATCATGAAGCTATATGGTTCATGAAAGCAAAAACTGTGTCTAATTTGCCACTACTTATATTCTGGCACATACTAGATACTCATTTGTTGAGAAAATAAATGAATAACTAAATTTGAATTTTGCCTACTTCATATAAGGGATCAGGGCCTTTAAAAATCATCATTTAACAGTATTTATATCTCATGGACTAGTCTTTTGCATGTACTTCCAGCCACAGGATGCTACTTGATTCCCCAGCTGTGGCAGGAAATAGGGTGTAGGCTTGAGACAGGGAATCTGAAATCAATGAGATCCCAGGACACTGATTATTGTAGTTCCTTCCCCTTCCCCCAAACTGTTGGCAAACAAAGTCAAACAAACATTCCTCAGGACACTCCAGGAAACTCAATATCCAGGTAAGGATCTTAGTGGCAGGCAGGAGCAGGTGATATGAGTTGGGGAGTTAAGTCTGGAGGATGGTCTTATAATTCTGTGGATGTTATAAGGCTTCAGTCACCAAGCAATTGTGGTTATTTATTTAACTAAGGTTATTCAACTCCAAGAATCCTTGGGAGTCTGGTACTACCAGAGGGTATACCCCATCTACCCTTCTTCTAAGACAATCTGAAGAAAAAAATTTGAAAGAGCGTAAGTCAGAGGAGGGTTCAAATGATACTATTGGGGTGACTTGAGCATGTTAACTTTTCCAGGGCTGTTTCCTTGACTGCCAAATTGGGATAATAATATTTTAGAGACAGCACCTCCATTAGATCATAAGGACCTTGCAGGCAGGGATCATTTCTTTTCATCTGTACTTATCTAGTGCTTAATAATGCTAGGCCCTAGTTGATACTCAAATAGCTAAGTGTCTTCTTAGAGGTGGTCCAGGACCTAGTCCTGGCTCTATCACTGAGGTACTCTCAGAGTAATTAGGAGATTTCCTTCAACTCCCTGGATGTCGACCTTCCCTTCTATAAAATAGGAGCCTGAAACAGATCTTTTCTAAGCACCTTTCCAGATCTACTAATCAATGAGTCTATGACCATTCAGTACACTCTACCCCACTGCTGCTCCTAGAAGTTAATAATGCTACAGACTGAGGACACAAAATGTCACGAATCACTTTATATTTACAGATACACATGCACTTCAAACAGATTCTGTAAACAACCACAATACTGTATTGTACTTTTGGTCTACTTCTGCCTCTTTAGAAGTCAAGAGGGTTTCTTTCTTTCTTTTTTTTTTTTCTTTTTGAGACAGAGTCTTGCTCTGTTACCCAGGCTGGAATGCAATGGCACAGTCTTGGCTCACTGCAACCTCTGCCTCCCAGGTTCAAGTGATTCTCCTGCATCAGCCTCCCAGTAGTTGAGATTACAGGTGCCCACCACCATGCCTGGCTAATTTTTGTATTTTTAGTAGAGATGGGGTTTCACCATGTTGGCCAGGCTGGTCTTGAACTCCTTACCTCAGGTGATTCGCCAGCCTTAGCCTCCCAAAGTGCTCAGATTATACACATGAGCCACCATGCCTGGCCAGAAGTCAAGAGTTTTTAAATCTTTTATTTGGATTGTTTAGGAAGATTAAATCCAAGACAAGTTGCCACTCACACATATTATGCGGCTTGAACCTTGGTGGCTAATTGTGCTATTACCGTGATTGATGACCACTATGCTGCAATCAGCTGAGCTGCTGCCTTTTACTCGACAGAAATGAGGTCGCAGACAGGGCTGGGGAGCTACCATCTCACAAGCAGGTCTGGGTTGTCTGTTGTCCAGTAGAAGAGCTTGCCACTATAACATTTAAGTCTTGATTCCATCTACTGTGAAGATGCTTGTTCCCTTGAACTGGCTCCTGAATTTTACAGAATTTGACAGTTTTAAAGAAAAATATTTGATCTTTGCCTGGATATCCAGTAGGAGAGAAAAGATTATTGGATATAGATACTAAAATATCCAGGGGTCATGAGGACCTTGGTCTGAAATCTTAGTACTAGATGAGTGCTAATGATCAGAAGAAAATAGTAATTATCTGTGACACAGTGTCACACCCAGAACCACTGCCCTGTGAATCAACTATATTCTACTCATGATCAGAAAAGTTAATCAAGTCACTCTTCACAAATGCCCCATTGCTGGAGCATGGAGGCTGTTTGAAGTGAAGCATGGAAACTTGACTGCTTGGGAGCCTGTTAAGTGTTGCCTGGCAGAGGCAGATACAAGGAGAGCAAGCACTGGGCTTTTCTACCTAGGCCCATGCGATCTGGTTGCCTCAGAGACTAACTTGCCTTTCCTGAGCATTAGACATCCATCATCTCAGATTAGTCTGAGTAGTTGAGCAATTTGTTAACAGATTAGAGATTTAAGTCTTTTCTCCAGTGGACTTGGAATCTGATGGCCCTGGAATTGAATCCTAATGTGGTTTTAACACTCTCGGTATGTGATCCGAGTCTCGTAACCTCTCTGGATCGTAGTTTGTCTATAAAAGATGCATCCCAGAACGTGGTTAAGAGCACAGACCTTGGAGCCCACTGCCGGGATTTGAACTCCAGCTTTACCATTTACTTATGATATGACCTTAGAGGTCAGGCTTAGAACCACTTTGTACCTTTATTTCCTCGTCTTTAAATGAGGCTCAATTTAGTGCCTCCCTTACAAGATGCTGGGAAGATAAATGAGTTGATGCATATAAAATGCTTGGAACAATTTCTAGCACAGAGTAAGCAAGACATCTGTGTTAGCCAAGCTAACACTGGGATGCCAATCCTGATCTCTCAGGTTTGTTTGGTGGATCAACTGAAAGGGTGAAGGTGAAAAAAAAGTCACCAAGTTATTAGTGCCAAAAGGGACCTTAAAGATCATCCAATTAAGCTCTCTCATTTTATAAGTAGGAAATCAAGACTCAAAGATGGGGAGTAACTGGCCCAGAGTCACAGTCGATTTAATGACAGAGTCCAGGTCTCCAAGCCCAAAGCTCTGTTCTCAGCATGGCATCAAAGAAAGCAACATCTTTTATAGAGCTGACTCTGGATGGTTCTTTAAAAAAGAGAGAGATAGAGAAAGACAGACTGGAATGCAGTGACATGATTACAGCTCAGTGCAACCTCAAACTCCTGGACTCAAGCAATCCTCCTGCCTCAGCCTCCCAAGTAGCTGGGACTACAGGCGTGTACCACATCTGGCTAATTTTTTTTTGTAGGGATGGAATTTCACCATAGTGACCAGGCTGGTCTCGAACTCCTAGCCTCAAATGATCCTCCTGCCTTGGCTTTCCAAAGTGCTGTGATTACAGGTGTGAGCCACAGCCGCCCTGGATGGTCCTTTTTACTCATTGGACTGGTTGCTAGTTAATGTACTTTTCTAAGCCAATGAGCCTCATTTGAAATGAAGAGAAAACTGGGAAGAGACTCCCCCTGCCACTGACTTTTGACGTGGCTGAGGATTCTGGCCATGATTAAGAAGAAAGATTTTCTGGAATCATTGCCAGTTCCGTGTCATTATTTCAGCCAAAACCAAAATATGTCCCTGTGGCCAAGCAAGCTAGAATAATGAGACAATCCATTCTGGTCTCTGAATTTCTTTTTTTTCCTCAGGTGTTTAATTAAGGGGCTTCCACCAGAAGTGGTTTGCCATGCTCTCTGGTAAAAGCTAAGGTTTCACCCCCAGGAGAACGGGGTTGGGATCAGGACCTCTGAGTTCAATTTTCTCAATTTTTTCAGGGTCATGCTACCTTAGATTTATTTTTCTTTGAATTGTACTTCTCAATTAGACTGCTCAGAAGCAATTAAAAGATAGATTGGAGGAAAGGGGCAGGATGGAGAGAAGACCCTATGGAGAACAGCAGGTGGAATTACAGAGGTATTTGACCTAGAGAAAAGGCGAATCCCAGGAGTCATGATTCCTGTTCTCAAGTAGTCTGAGGGTGTCACAGGGCAGAGGGCGCAGAGACTGTGAAGTCTCTAACAGCAGAACTGGTACCAATAGGGTGGGAAGAAGAAGAGTTTCCAGGAGACAGATTTGAGCTTGCAGGAAGGAAAACATTCTATGAGAGTTGACCAAGATGGTGTGGAAAATGAGCTCCTGTCCCTGCCTACAAGGTGTGCTGTAGAAGAAAGAGATTTGATTGTTAGGCTTGACAGTCACTTATCAGAAAAAGGAAAGTTAGAATTGACTACATCAGACTAGGTAAATTTGGGAATCCCATCAACTCTAAAATCCTCAGGTTCTAGGAGTCTAAGAATCAATAACCAATTTCACTAAGTTCCCACAGTTAAGAACCCACTGGAAAAGCAGCAATCTGTTTCTTGACCTTGCCTGTGTTTCTCTTTTTCTTTTTCTCTTTCTCTTTGTCTTTCTTAAGCTTACTTGCCTGCTCTTTCATATAACAGGAACTTCTGACATTTTGCAGGGGATAATCTTTTTCTCTTAAGTGTGTTTCTGACTCAGCCTTTGCTCCATCAGCATCATTAGAGAGTCTGAGCTCTCTGAAGAATAGCTCTGCCTGTCACCACAGCAACTGCCCAGGCCCTGTGGGCATCTGTGGTAACAGGCACAGGTCTTTGAGAGCCCAAGCTTTACTTGTAGTGAGTGAAAGCCCCGCAGGGAGCCCAATATGAAACAAGCATGCTGTGCTTTGGGAAGTTATCTTTAATAGGATTAGCTATGTAGGCAAGCCTCACTTTACACAACTGGCCTGCCCCTGAAGAGTGTGTGTGTGTCAAATCTTGATAAACGGAGGAACTCTTATTTTAAAAGCAGAGAAGAGACTGCTAAGTCCCTGTAGTGAATCCCCTTTCTAAAACAGAGTCTTCTTTTGTAAAGTGAATCTCCACCTGTGTAGTGACCTGTTCTGTTAGTCTAGTGCTGAGTATCTATTACTGGGACCATCTGCAGAGAACCCCAGGGGCAGGCAAAGAATAGCAGCAATTCATCTTGCTCAGGGCTGAGAGTGGACAATGTGTAACAGAGAGAAGCAGACTGGGTGTGGGGCCACAAGGATGGGAGGTCAGGAAGGTGGGCCTTGCCTAGCATGAGCAGTTCTGCTGCAGCAGCGGCGGGGTGTCCGAGAGACGCGTGTTCTTGGAGGAGCCCAGCATCGAGGGGTCTGTGTCCATTGAATCAGACATCTTGTCGCAAATGGCATCCACCAGGCGCTCGAAGGCCTGCCTTACACTGATGTTCTCCTTTGCACTGGCTTCAAAGAAATCAAACCCTGGAAAGAGAAGAGGTAAAGATAAGGACTTTTCCCATCCCTTCTGCTGGAACCCTTCTGTGCCCTCAGCCCAAGAACTCTGGATTAATGTGTCCAGTGCTCAGGAGTGAAGCAAAGAGGCCCAATTCCATGGGCAGGGGATTCTGCCTCAAGGAGATGGTACATGGCAGGAGTTTCCTGTTCCGGTCTTACAGTCAGACTGATCCTAGCTCTACCACGGCCCAGCTGTTTAATTTTGGGCCAAGTCATTTATTCTCTTTACAAATCAATTTCCTGGTTTGTAAAAAGGGTAATTCTACCTATGTCACAGAGTTATTTCAAGGATTAGGGAAGACAATGTATGCAAAATGCATAGCCCTGTGCCTGACACAGAGGAGGTCATTAGTGTTTGCTGACAGAGCAAATGCATAAATGTGTGTGCACAGGACTTCATAGTTTCCAACCCACTTATCACATCGATTATTTTATTTGATCTTCATGTTGCCCCTGAGGAAGGAGTGTCAGTCAGATTCTCTCCACTTCACTAATGCAAACACCGGCTTACAGAAGTAAGCTAGTTTGCCCAAGATAAAGAAAGGTACCAGTATGAGAAGCCTTAGTTTTGGACTTTTTCACAGGGATTTTCCTCCTCCTTCCCCTGCCTCTCATTCCCCCTAGGCTGGCCAATTCTGGTCTGGGCTCTGGGAGGCACCTCAAGATTCACGCTGACTGTCTTCTTTGCCCTTTTCACCCATAGCCACACTGGTTTATTTCCACTCCGTGGGGTTCCTTTTCTCTGAATCCCACTGAAATGATTCAATAGAGCTCACTCTGCCTCCACAAACCCAACAAAAGGCCCAGGGACAACTACATCTAAGGTGTGCAACATTCTTGTCTATTTTGTATCTTGAAATCCTTAGCAACACTTTCTGTGATGAACAGAACTTGGTTGTCCAAAGAGACACAGTGAAGGCTCTCCTGATTCAAAAAGGCTGCTTTCCACCCGAGGAATCTTGGTCAGCTTGGTGGAAGCCCTTAGAAGCCCTCTTTATCAGTCCCTGGCCCTCTCTCCCACTTCTCTTGTCTGTCTGCCTTCTTCTTTCCCGTCTTTCAGAGGTTTTCGCCTGTGTTCCTTGTACTTTCTCCTTGGGATTTCTAATATCTTTGGGGCAAACACTATATGCCAGACACTATGCTAGGAACTTTACTGATATCATCTTCTTTAATCCTCACAACAACCTGTTGGGTAAATAACATTATCTCCATTTTTTAAATGAGAATATGAGAAACTGCATAACTCACACAAAGTCATGTGGCTGTATTAGTGGAAACTGGGTTTAGGTCTGGGTTTGGCTGTCTCCAAAGTCCACACACAATTCTGCCTCTCATTTCTTCCCCTTTTTCTCTTTCACTTTGCTTTTTTTTTTTTTTTTTTTTTTTTTTTTTTTTCCTGCTTACACCTTTTTCTTCCTTTACAAGTCTTTTGGCCTCCTCTGCTTTAATCCAACTAACAGTGTCCAAGTCTGGGCAAGTCACTTCACCTCTCTGCTCACTTAACCTTTCTAATTCTCAGACTCCTTGTTGTCAAATAAGAAAAACATCAGTGTCTTCTTACCAAGAGCAGGTGGGAGGAATGAGTGAGATGCTGAATACATTTCTGTAAAAAAGTGGCCTGTTATAAAGACAGTTTATTTCCGTTCTTTCATCTTGTTCCTCCCACCTCCTCTCCATCTCTTTCTCCCTCTTTTATCATCTTCTCTAACACAGGAGGGATCTCTTTCCCCCTCCTTTTTTCTCCCATTATTCCACCTTCCACAGAAGGGCTAAAGCCCCCAGGTATAAACAAGGCCCCTCTTTCCCCAGCCTTCCCAGCTGGAAGGCACATGGTGTTCCTGCCAGCCCACCTGCAGCTGACAGCCTCTCTCCTGTGGCCCATTTCCTGACCTGAGAAAGACAAGCAGCAGAAGTGCTGCTAATTGTGGACATGTGATAAAGAAAGAGGCAGTTGCTAGCTCATTATCCTCAGGCCATAGAAACTCAGCTTCAGAGATTCTCTAGCATATCGTTTTTCCTTAATGAACACCACAAAAATGGACTCCCCATTGTTTGACTGTCTTATTGCAAATGGCAGTGTTTGGGGAGGTGCAGGGAGTGTATTGCTTACCTAGAAAAGAGACAGGTAAATAAGTAAATAGGTTTTCAGTTCAGATGAAGATAAGGACACAGTTCAAGGTCAGGAGCACAAATCCCTTGTGAGGAAGTGGCACTGAGGGGAGGAGATGCTGCATTGTACAGAGGGCAGCTACTAGCTGTGTGTTCTTGGGTAATTGCTCCTAGTCTCTGTTTCCTCATCTGTAGAATGAGGTGAATATTACCTATCCCATAGGATGGTAATAAAAATTAAATTCACAAAAGTATGTAACATGATTGGCATGTGAATACATGGCAACTGTCTTTCCTATGTGTTCCTGGCCCACCTTAGTCCCAGCTTCCTTGTACCTCTATTGTCTCACAGGGCCTTTGAGTAAATCCCTTTGTCTTCATCACTAAGAGTCAATCAATAAGCCAGGTATTTTTATTTTATTTATTATTTATTTATTTTGAGAGACTGAGTCTTGCTCTGTCGCCCAGGCTGGAGTGCAGTGGCATTATCTCAGCTCACTGCAACCTCTGCCTCCCAGGTTCAAGTGATTCTCCTGCCTCAGCCTCCCGAGTAGCTGGGATTACAGGCACCTGCCACCACGCCTGGCTAATTTTTTGTATTTTTAGTGGAGACAGGTTTCACCATGTTGGCCAGGCTAGTCTAGAACTCCAAACCTCAGGTGATCCATCCACCTCAGCCTCCCAAAGTGCTGGGATTACAGGCATGAGCCCCCACACTTGGCCCACCAGGTCTTTATTGAACACTGACTTTGTGCCATGTCTTGTGTTGAGTGTTAGAGATACAGATAGATCAAACACAGTTGTGGAAAAGACACACTAACAAAGGCATCAGTCTCTCACACCTGCAATTCACATTAAAAGTTCACAAATACAAAAACAACCATGTGAGTGAGGTTGGGCAAGGCAAGCATTATCACTTGTAATTGGCAGACAGGAAAACAGACTCAGAGATGGGCCAGGGGTCTGTCCCTTATGCCTCCTTGTCTCACTGTCAGTTGGAACAGTGACAGAACAAGCTGTAACATTCTAACCCAGGTAGAGGAAACCAGAGGTCATGCAGGGATGCAAGAGAGGGAGAGGCTGGCAGGGAAGGAGAGGAGGAGGAAGCTTCTTGAAATTAGTGAGGATGTGAGCCTTTAAAGTCTGAACTCAGGCCAGGCATGGTGGTTCACACCTGTAATTCCAGTAGTTTGGGAGGCCAAGGCTAGTGGATCACTTGAGATCAGAAGTTTGAGCCCAGCCTGGCCAACACGGTGAAACCCTGTCTCTACTAAAAATACAAAAATTAGCTGGGTATGGTGGCACACACCTGTAATCCCAGCTATTCGGGAGGCTGAGGCAGGAGAATTGCTTGACCCTGGGAGGTGGAGGTTGCAGTGAGCCAAGATTGCACCATTGCACTCCAGCCTGGGTGACAGAGTGAGACTGTCTCAAAAAAGAAAGAAAAGAAAAGAAAAGAAAAGAAAGAAAAGAAAAAAGAAAAGAAAGAAAACAGAACTGAGCAAAATTGGCTAGATGCCAGTGGCTCAAGCCTGGAATCCCAGTGCTTTGGGGGTGCCAAGGCAGGAAGATTGCTTAAGGCCAGGTGTTCAAGACCATAAATAAATGAATATGTAAATATTAAATTAAATTAAATTAAAAGGAATTAAGTAAAACTCTTCACCTAACTTCTCATTCTTCAGGACTCAGCTTACATATAGTGCCTTCATTCTCCTCTGTGCTTCCTTCTGCATGACAGAAGTCCATGTAGACAGGGAGCTCCCCAAACAGGGACTATGTCATTCTGAGCCCCTGCACCAGCTGGAAGAGTAGGTGCTTAGTGAATGTTGGTGGAATGAATAGTTGAATTAAGGAGGTGGGAATGAGCGTGGAGGGTGTGGTTGAGGGGATACGGATAGTGTGGGTCATGAAAGCTCAGCTCAATAAGCACATCAGACCCTGTGCTGGGCACTGGGGACAGTGAATTGAATCAGACACAGCCCCTACCTTTAAGTAGCCCCTAGTCTATTGTGGAAGATAGACATTTTGATAATATTTAGGATAATAAGTGTTGAAATGGAGAGAAGCCAGGGGACTGTCAGGGCACAGAGAAAGCATCTAACTAAGCCTGGAGACCAGGGAAGGTTTCTTGGAGAAGCAGATGCCTAAGCAGATATCAGCTAGACAAAGACATGTCACTGTGAGTGTATGTGTGAGCACAGGCATGTCTAGCACAGCACAAGAGGGAGGGGAGACAGTGTGAGCACACATAAGGGGGCAAAAACCAGCCTTGGGCTACGCCAAGAGTCATAGCAGTTATCCTTAGAGCAGAAAACTTTGTGGTGGGAAATGAGTCAGTAGGATGGCAAACAAGGGGAGTTCTTGTGTCATGCCAAGGAGATGTCTTTACTGTCATCTCAAAGGTACCCAGAGTGTGAGAACTCTGACTCAAGTTACCAATTCATGGGTCTAGCCATTTCAAGGGCCTCTTTTGCTTAGCAGAATAACCCCAAATGCACCCCACTCAATTACTGTCAAATTCCTGGAATAGTCTTCATTAGAAGGTCCAGATGGTAACCTTTTCCTCAGGTTCATTAATAAGGATTCTTAGGAGCTGAGAATCTAGTGAGGCCAGGAAGATGACAACCAATTAACCAGACTAGCCCCCAGTCCTTCCTTTTTTCCTCCTAATTGGCTTCAGACCAATGACATTTTTGCTATCTTTAATGGGGCTGAATTCTTAACTGAATCCGAGCTGTTCCCCCACCCCCCAAAATGAGAAGCCAGGGATTATCATGTTTATCTATTCTGTCCAAAGGCAGCTGTCACAGACCCATAGACTGCATCCATGCTGCCTGCTTCTGAATATGACCTCAGAA